AAAAAATTTATACAATTTATTTATTTTAATTTTTGCGGTTTCTTTCTGAGAAATTTTTATTGGGTTAGGAAAGCTGTTGAGGTTAGTAAAATTGAAATTATTTAAATTTTTTTAAAAGTCTGTAACACTGTAAAATTTCTCTAATTTAAATCAACTTTGCAAAATATCAAAATATATTGAAAAAATTATTTAAAATCTTCAAACCAAAGAACCAAAAAGATAAATTTAGGAAACCAATTTTGTACAAACTTCTCGAACTTTCCACATATAGAAATTTCAAAAAAGAGAAATAAACTTAATTCTGCATATTATGTATGTCATCCTATTCTAAAAATTTGGCTCCCTCTTCCAAGTTAGAAAAAATAATCACTTGACCAAATATGAGGCAAAATGCCATAACAGAAACTAATTCAACCCATATGAATTTCTTTGTACTTGTTGGCTTTGGAACAATACTATAATTGATTTAATAATATTTTGTATGTCCGTGACTCCATAGCATTCCTGAATTGAACAAAAACCACCTAATGATACTTTACTTTTTCGGCCTTCAGATTACGTGAAAACCGTCTAATTTTTTTAATTTATAACTCGATAAATATGATATTTAAGACCAACTTTGTATACTCATTTTAAAGCTAATGAAATTTAACTTCTAACGGCATACCAGCGTTTGCAAAGACTTCTTTAGTTTCAAAAATATCGAAAGTCGAATATGTCAAAAATTTTACATGTTCAAATTTTGACATAAACTCGTGAAAGAAGGCCAAAAACGTAAAATTTCACTAGGTGTTTTTTGTTCTTCTGAAGACACTCATCTGCTTTGGGAATACCATTAACTCTCAGACATCCTATATATTGGAACTCTATTTAAGCAGGCTTAATTGTATATTATAATAATTATATTGTTTTTATGTAATGTGAAATGAGAGTTGAGCTATTTTGAGGAATAATACTTGAATTAACAATTATAGAATGAATTAACAAAGAAAATATTTTAGTTACTATAATTTAAAAACTAGTCTTAATTAATTAAATTACTAATTAAATTTATTTTTAGCTTTACCACCTATACAAATTAGTGTCTACATATTTATCATGTGGAAGAAATCAATTAAATCGTAACAAATTAAAATTTAATACGGAATCATTTAATTTCCAAATGCCAAAAGTTGTGATCTAACTTTATTCACAGCATTAAAAAAAAGGACTGAGTAAAAATTAATTGGAAAATTTAAACCATACCATATTCAAAGCATTTAATTTTTAATTATCAATCAAAAAAAAAAATTTACATCACTAAAGAATAAAAAAATATTAAAATAATTTTTCTATTTAAAAAAATGTTAAATGAGTCAACGACAGAACCATTTTTAATTTTTTCAATGAATTTAAATTGAAAATTAATTAATATTAAAGAATAATTTAAAAAAATATAAAAAATTTTCATTGTCCTTTAATAACACTATTTCTTTTCATAAAGATTCAAATTCGTTAATAAAACATTGTTGAAAGTTTGCTACATTTTCTTTTAGAAAAAAATAGCACTCAGGGGGTGGGGGGGCAGGAGAAGCATTTATGCTGGGCCTCACTATCTGCGGAGCGTGGAATTAACAACTCAATATTTTAAACAAAATATTTCAATTATGTCTTCAATGAAGAGAATGTTAAATATTTTTATTGTAGCGTAAGTCACAATGAAATAATTCACAATGAAAAAAGTTGAATTACTAAAACCTTTAATTGACAATGTATCTGGACAGACTAAATGGACTAGCAGCTATAAACGATAATTATGAAATAACGTTTTCTTCAGATTATTCGAACATGTATGTAGATTGCCTGTATTCTGCTGTTTTATGCATTGTATTTGAAAAATTTCAGGGCCTCTAAATATTAGTTGCTCCAGGCCTCGCATTTATTCTGAAAGCCCCTGTTTAAATACATTTGCATGTATTTCAAAGAATTTAATTCTATTAAGGAGTAAATAAACATATATCACAAATGGAGCGCCATAATAAATGATTTTAAATAGTTTTCTGAAGCTATTATGTACCACTTCAAATCCATGAGACAATTCAAATGCGAAACGATTAAAATATTCTACAAATACTTTTGCAAAACTTCAATAGAGAAAGTGGTATGAAATTACATTAGATTAAACGGAAAACACTTGGTGGCTTGACAACCAAAATGTGTGAATGTCAGATTTTTTCTTTTTTAAATTTAATTTTTCAAAAACCTTCTTTTCTTCAAAATTGTGGTAAAAATTGCTGAATAATAAAAAAAAAATTTAATGTGAAATTCTATGATTCGTAATCATCAGAAAATCACGATTTTATTTCAATGTATAAAATTTTTTTTATTACTTAAACAGTCGTAGATTTTTTTTTTGTCTTCTACCGTTTAGTCTATGTGGTTTAATTTAAAATAAACATTGTGTATACTCTGCTAAATACATACATACATACATTTTTACCCTGAATTTGTAACATTTTGTATTTAAGTATATGCGTACATACATGTAAATTTACGTGAATGCATAGAACTTAATTCTTAAAGCAAATATTGCGTGCATTTTGCTGTCTGGCCTAATCTAGATCCTCATACATTTGTGCATACATATGTACATTGTAGGTAAGTAAAGTGCTGTGAGTGAAATAAAATACAATTTTATTTTTTTTATATTTTATTCTTTTTCTATTTATTATGTTATTTTTTTGTATTTCTCATTTTAATATAGAAATCAACAATAAAACAAAATTCTTTTCAAAAACAAATTTATGTATGTTTGCATTTATTTTGATTATTTTATTGTTTTTGACATTAAATTGAAGAAAAAATTAAAACTTTAAATTTTAAATAACACAAAAATGACATTTATATTGACCATGGCTTTAGATAACAGAAATTGTGAAAAATTTGTTTGCATATTTATTTTGAAAAAATTTTAATATAATAGGCAATCTAATTTATATGGAAATGACAAGTTAATGACAATCTGTTAATATTTGGCAGCTCAAATGTCACAAAAGGTAAGAAAGTTATTTGAAAAGAAATGCCTTATTATAGAAAATTGTAGTCCAATATGGTCTAATATGCAAGTTTTTATACTACACGTAATAATACGGCAAGTTTTATGGAAATGAGCCTTTAGAAACTTCCATAACAATTGCGTATGTTGTCTATACAAACATGAGTTACAACAATCGCTTGTCTAAAGTTATAAAGCTCTGTCATCGAAAAATGAAAAAAAAATGGAGTTATTAATATCAAAAGCTGTTATCAACCTATAAGAGACAGTAAAAACGAAATCATGCACTAAGGTCTTTATAATTTTCCTAATATTGGCATCATTCCCTAATCTTAGCTGTATGAATGACAGCCAAATTGTGAATAAAAGCAATATTTTGATATATGTACGTACAAGTTATAAAATTTAAAATTAATTTTTCTGTTCTTTGAAAATCAATTTGACTAATGAACGGTAAGAAACTACAAACGTCAAAACACTTTTTCGCTTTTATAGAATTGTATTGCCTGCGCAGTAAGTCTCAATTATTTATGTAGATTTTAAAGTACGATTGAACTTTTCAATTAACAACTCAAACAAAATAAAAATTTGTACAACTGGAAAAATATGGTTTGAAATCTGTAAATTCTAATATTGCTTACCGGTAAATTTGATATACAGGTTTAAAATTAACTAGGGGTATAGCAGCCATATTACGTTTTTTTATATACTTACATTATATAAATCCATATGACCTTTGTTCTCAGTTTAAAAAATTAAACTGAAATCCTCTGACAATAAACTTTTAAACTTTTTAAAAAAAGTAAAAATTATGATTATTGTTATTAATGTCATTCGAAAATTAGAGTAAAACCTTCATACTATAACTAACACCTCATATAAATGTAGAATATGACAATATGAGCGAAAAATTTTAAGAATTTTATAATAGAAAATGGGTTAATCAGACAATGAGTTAAAAAAAATCGTTATGATAAAACTTAATTCGTTATCTTTTATTTGAACTTTGACAAATGAAATCTTCCATCATGACATTTTGTTTAAAAAACAAACGCTTTTTACCCGTGTAATAGATTTTCTAACTAATTTAAAGATCAAAAGACATGACCTATTAAATAAAATCAATACCTATATTTTTGCTGTACTTATATGATATAAAAAAGCATAATGGACAATATAACGTCTATATTGTTTACCAAAAATTTCTGTATGAGAATAACCTGATTTTTGAAAACAACACCAACATACGTACAAATTCCACGTAAACGTCGTAACCACAAGTAATCTCCGATTTTAAATTAATCGTATTATCATATTGTCAAGGGTGGTTTTTCTATATACCAACAATTTAGAAATTAAATGGAAATATTAAATATATTTAACTAAAAATTTATATAAGAATATCTTTATTTTAATTGAATATCATTAAACAAGTGAAATAATTAAATATATATATATATATATATATGTACGTAATTTGCTTAATTTTTTAGCTTTTAGTAATCTAAGATTTTGTATTCAAAAATATTGTTTACGTTAATTGTATTATCGTATTATATACGTGCCCATTATGTAGCTATAGCATATACGTAGGATGGGATTGAAATTATTTTACAATGATATAGATTGCAGTAGATTATAGTTAACTACTGCAATATTTGTGCCTGTCAGTAAAGTACGACGACATATTAGATTTTTTGACAAAATAATATTTAAAATCAGCCTCACGGACACAAACTAAAATTATATGTTTGGTTTGTGTCTTTGCTGATTACGTCTCAATTTCTCCAAATAATACTTATACATAAAACAATTACAAAATAAATAAAAGATAATATTATACTATAAATGAATTGTGAATACAGGGAATGAGGAAATTTATTAAAATTTCGTTTTCCAAAAAGTCCTTTTTACGTCAAATTAGTTCCACAAGAATTTTTACAAAAATGTCAAAAGATAAGAATTTTTTAAGGTTAAGGTCTTGTATAACTTTTTTAGTAAATATTGAGGAAATATTTTTTTTTTTTACTTAAGCTCTTCTTTCTTTAAGAAACAAACTTTCGAAAATTTAAGATGTCTTTTCCAGGTAAAGAAGAGAGACAAAAATGTTGGGACAATAGAGATGCATATTGGGCTTGTCTAGATAAAAATGCACCTGACCACAGTTCAACTAGCGGTGAAAAGGTTTGTTATTAATATTTATTATTCAAGTGTCCAAAAAAATTTAATCGATATCTTTAATCACTCAATGGAAAATAAAAACGAAATATTTTTAGATTCCAGATGCTTGCGCAAAATTGCGTAAATTATTTGAAAATTCATGTCCAAAACAATGGGTAAAACATTTTGATAGGAAAAGAAATTATGAGTTATTTAAAGAACGTATGAAACAAGGGTATGATCCATTAGAACCTAAAAGTTAATATTGAATTTCACAAAAATCTTTTTATACTTTTATTTAGAATAAATAAAACCTTATGCTATAATTTATTGTTATTTGAGAAAAAAAAATGTAAAAATTATTAGATAATAAAAATTGTGTTAGATGACTTAGCAAGATTTTTCGTTTTTATGCTTTTTTTCGCACTATACATATTTTTATTCTAACTATAATCAAAATTTAAACTTTTCCTTTCAACATCAATTGAAACAATATGTTTACCAGGAATCATAACGCTACCTAGAATTCTTGGTTCACCACCCTCTTCTAAATATTCAGCACATAAAGATAAAACTATATTGGCATCCTTATCAGTACAATTGAAATATCTAAAATTATATTGAAAAAATTTTTAATATTTCGTAGCTAGGAACCTACATAAATTTATAAAAGTGAGTTTGATAAGACTTTAGAAACATTCTTAGGAGTACCTACATTTATTGATTATTGGTAATATTTTGCCTATCAATTATACATATTGAAATATTTTAATTAAAAATTACATATTTTTATGTACTCACCCAATTAAAATTCTACCATCAGTGATAACAACCCTAAAACTTCTTCCCAACCACTTTCGTAAATTAGTTCGACCGGGTGTTAAATTTTCTGGTATTTTTTTGACTATCTGCTGCGTGAAAAATAAATATATTAATATAATGAATATATGTAGCACAAAACTTATTAATATATGTAGCACGTATTAAAATTTTTTATAATAGAATTTATTTTTTTATAGATCAAATTTGATTGTTTTATATGAACATACATCAGGTTTTCTTCTCTGCTCAGCTGATGATGGTATATCCTCATTACTAGAATAACTCATTTTTAAAAATTTAAAGTATTCTTAATTTTTTTAATATTTGCTCAAGCAATTAATTTATTATCAATTTTAATTGTGTTGTAAATAAATAAGAATAATACTTATCATAAAATTATAAACTGTCAAACTTATGTTCCACAAAACTTTTTAGCAGTTTGACAATCGATGCGTGTCAGATTTTTGATACTTTATAAAATTAACCCAGGGTTACATCCGTTTATCTATGCGGTATACAATATAATATAAAGCAATATATTTTTCAAAGTAATTCTCAACACATATTAAGTCTCTCTGATAAAAAATTTAACCTTAAAAAAGGGAATACAGTGACGTATTTTCTCGCAAAAATTTAAAAAAAATAAACCAAATGGAAGAAGTTGATAAACTTTATAAAATTTTATAAATAGCTGATAAACGTCAAATTTAAAAATATTTATTAAACATAAACAAATATTTTTTGGTTGCACGAAAAATCGAAAACTTTAATTTTGCATTTTAAAAAGTGTGAAACTTAAAAAATCATTTGTGAATCCATTTTGTTCATTTTATTTTATTCTTTAAAAAAAAAAATTAATTTTAATTTGCAAAACTTGGAAAACTTTTAATAAACGTCATCAATTTCTCTAATTTGTGTTCAAAGTAATAAACAAGATGCTTTTCATGCAAAAACTTTATAAAGTTTTGAAGAACTATCTTATACCAGACAAATTATACCATTTACAAATTATATATGTATGTACATATATAACCTTGTTTTTAAATAATATTCTTATTAAAATAATAAATATTATTTTCAATTTATTTTTCAACTGATTTTAATACAAATAAATAGCAAACCATTTGTGTTATACCAAGAATAAAATTTAAGAGAAGAAATAGTAAAAACAGACATATTTATATCCGCTTATTTTTTTTGACATTCTATATTTCTAACATGATGTGAACGACTCTAAATTTAATAAACTGAACATGAAGCAAGAACAACGCCAATAAAAACAGTTACTTAATACTTTTGTTCTAATAGATTTTTAGAATTATGTAAATTAAAAAATTTTGTATTCAAAAATTAAGACATTAATTTCATAATTTCATAACCATTAAGTTAGTTTGCGGCAGAAACATTATAATTGTAACTGGCGGACCGTTTTTTTTCTGAAAATTATTTAAATGCCTACTTACGCTCAGTTAAAAGGAGCCCACATTTACATAAACGACAACACAACGGTTAGGATTAAAAATATTTTATTATTTAACAAAGTAAGTATAACTTGATTAAATTCAACAAAATATAACATTTTTTTTTACTAGGGTTTAATTATTTGATAATTGCACTACCTGCAGTAAAAATTATTCACAATTTACATGAAACATAATTAGCCTATTTATTTTTCTTAATAACATTTTTCATTGATTCGTCACCCAATAATTTCGATATAATTTTTGTAATTAATCTTTCAATTAAAATAACTGGTTGATCAGGAAAAAATTTATAATAATATTTTTCCATAAATTTTGAACATTGTTTTAAATAAGTATATGCTTGTTTTGGGGTCATATCATTAATTTTACCCATATTTGATAAGATCGCATTAAAATCTCTTGTATATAATTTTGGTTTATGATTTTTAGCCTTTTCAATATTAAAAGTTGGATAATCTTTTAAACATGCTTCGCAACGGCAAACAAAATTTCTTGATTCCAAAAATAGTATGCGATGTTCTTTTGGAAGTGTACCGAAATCAGGACTAAAATTTATAAAAGAAAATTAAGCACAGATAAGTAAGTATTTTTGAAATTGTTTGTTTTTATTTCAATTAATTTAAATTTTAGCAAATCATTTTTTATTACATTCTAAATTTTAAAACTTACCAATAATTTAAAAGTAGTTGCAATCCTTTTTTAATCGGTTTCAATGTTAAAAAATATACTTTTTTACCAATAATCCAATGTTCAACATTTGGATTACATGAATGATTAAATAAACTTTCAAATGGACTTAAAAATTGAAATTCTGGTGAATCTTCACTAAAAATAATTTTTGAACCATATGAGCTGTCCTGTATAATCCTTGTATACAATAACATTGCTTCGCTTATAAAATCTTGGTGTTCTTTTTCAATAACCATTTCTTTTAATTTAGTTTTTCTTATTAAAAAATATTTTAATAATGCGATTATTGGTATATAGGGAAAAAATGCCATTGCATCACTTTTATCATAATATATTGAATTTATTAAATTTATACCATTACTATATTTATAATCTTTAAAATCAAATTCACTTGTTTCATCACCGTATATATTTTTAGTGACACTTTCCACGCAACTTGTATAACAATTTTTTATTGTAGAAAATTCATTGATAACATTTAATAAAGTACGTATTGTAAGTATAAAATTTGATGGTAAATAATCGTACATAAAATTAATAATTGGACATTCATATTGATGAAATTTGTTAGTTCCGTCCTCCAAACATTTCTTGCTACAAAACATTGCGCTAAAAGAAAAAAAGAAAAATTAAAGACAATAAAAATTCAAATTTTTGCTTTATAAAAAAAAAAATTCTAATTCTAATGTATTTTTTAGTATATTTTAGATGTGAGGCATCTATCTTAAACTTATAGATTGACAACTAAGTTAAACTAACAAATGAATAAATCTTCCGAAACTATAAAGGAGCTCCTAATGAATCATTCCAGTCTAAATTTAACAAAAAATTTATAAGTTTGAGAAGAAAACATATTAAAATCTTCTAAACGAAATTAATTTAAACCGGATGAAGACATATGAATCAATATTGAAGTGTTTATTTAAAAATTTGGATCTGGCAATTTAAATTTTATAATCACATTGAACATGTCACAAAATCAATAGAAGATAACGTGTAAATCAATGATTCGCAGGAACTCTACAAGATAAAATCGTAAATAAAAGATTAAACAAAATGTAACAAAAGTTTATGCAAATTACTCATTCAAACATTCATGGTTTACTACAGTTGAATTTAGAAACTGAATTTACCGAAATTTATATACTTAATGCTGATAAAGAAGCAAGCATGATAATCCTAACGAACCAAGTATGTATATAAAATTCATTTTTAAGTTATATTAATTACAATTTAGTATAAATGTAATTACAATTTTAGTAGAAGTAAATTTATTAGTAGAATACTTACCAAGTACAATTTGGACATGGTATTAACATTAAATAATTTTCTTTCATACAATTTAAACATCTTGAATATTTACATTCATCCATAATTGTCCATGAGAACATTTCTTCGATTCCAATTAAATCACCAGCTTGTAAATCACGTTTTGTAAATACACCACGTCCCATATTTTCAGTTAATTCAATATTTATGCAATCAGCTAATGGATATGGTGTTAATGGATTATTATTTGAACATAATTTTATATATGTAGTTAATTTTTCGAGCTTTTCAGGTTTATCATTATCGTTATTACTTCTATTACTGCTGTTAGAATTATCATCATTATTTAAATGCTTTAAACAATCTAATTCACGTTGATGAATTTTATTTAATATTTTTTCTGGTAAATTATTTGTTTCTTTAGCTAAATTAATATTTTCTAAACATTTTTTATATAATTTCAATTGATGAAATATTACAGAACGATTTGAATAACCGATTCCAATATTTGATGAATCTTTTGTTGAATAACAAATACTTTGATTATATGATTTTAATGCATTTAAATAATCATTTTTTGTATAATAATCATTACCAATATTACGATATTTTAATGATTCATTATCATTTTTCTCAATTATTAATTTATATTTTTTTTCAATATCATTAAATATATTTTGTTTATACATTAAATTCTCAAAAAATTGAATTTTTTCACCAAATGTTTTATCAAATAATAAAATTTTTTCACCCAATGCTGATGATATAAAACTCAATGATATTGCACGTAAATTATCAAATTTCTCTTCATTAGCATCCATATTTGTAAACGTAATAAAAAGTTTCCAACCTTCTTTTTTAACAAAAATTGTATTTAGGCACTTTGGTGATCCTTTTAGAGCTATTGTGTCCGTTTAAAATTTAGACCTAAAATTAATTTTATATTTTCTAATTTAAATAGATTTTCCTTTTTTTTAAACTAAAAATATTAATAAATAATATTTCGCGTATTAAGAAATTTCATATTTTTTTCAATATCTGCGTTAACTTTCCAATCTCTGAATAAGAACTGAAATTGAAAAGAAAAGAAATATGTGAATTTGAAAATTTGCTCAATTAAAAATCTATTTATAAATTCAAATAATTTTCAATATTCAAGCATTTTTATATTAATTTTTTTACTTAAATTTTGAAAATTTGAATGGAATAGGGCAATTAATACTCTTTTGTATTCACAAAATGCCTCTCTTTTGTTTTAATTTTAAAATTTCATAAAAAATATTAAAAGAAAAAGCTTTTATTCTACTAATCAACATATGCACATACTTACCTATTGTTTACCCAAAACATTTTAGAAAATATTGAATTAAATAGACAAAGTAAAAAGAACAACAAAAAAATTGGCAAAAACTTTTAAAAAACATGCGTGAATTAGTTACCGAACCCTTGAGAAAAAAAATTTACATTTTGTTTATTTTTCATTTGCTTCATTCTTGTGAAGCTATATTCAGAATCCTTACGCATCATAGAGTAGCGTCATCCATGAACTGAACATTTTTAAAGGAAACAAATGAAACTGCATCAACGTGCAATGTAACTAATAAATGCAAGTCAAAATGCAGTAACAATACTTTATTCAAATAATTTCTTTTAAAGTTTTGGAGGAGAATCTATAATATTATAAGATATGGTATTATTTATTTTTTCCTCTAAATTAATTTCATTCTAATATGAAAAAGATTATATTAAATTCCATAATTAATATTCTCGTCAACTAATGCACTCATCCATAGAACAAAATAAATAAATTTGAAATAACAAAATCCACAAGAAACAAATTATAATTTTTTATTACTTGACTCAACCTACACATTCCTCTATGTATACCATGTATATTGATAATGAAAATTAATTTAAAATGTATTTTTCTAATAAATTTTATTATTATTTTCGATCCAAAATATTTATTATATAATAAAAAATTAATATTTATTATGTTAGATCGAAATTTTGAAACTTTTCAATTAAAGAGAAATATAAAAATGTTTTTTTTTTAAATTGAATTGATTGGTTTATTTGGTCTCTATATTATATCAATTGTTTAATAGACAGGATAGGAAATTCATTTCCGGACACTTCAATTTCTTATATAATTTATAAGATTAAAGTGGTTTATTTCTTTATCTAATTAAGCTAATTAAGATAAAGTCGATTATAAGAACACCATAACAATGTGCGAAATTAGCGATGAATTTTGGATATTTATGAAAACTATAATTTCTTTCAAGCTTTTGCGTAATATTATTCAATTTCTGCAATGTTTTGTTAACTGATTAACTGCTTACATGCTAATAAAAAAATTTGAAAATATAACAATATATTAAAAATGAAATAGATTTCAGAAATATTAATATTTTATAGTATTTAAAAAAGAAATAGAAAAGTTTATAGCACAAATTGTTTTATTCAAGTAAAAACATTGCTTATTAACAATAAGATAAAGCCTTAAATTAAATAAGTATTTCTTGATATTTGTTATTGGAAAACCGTGTGGCATAAAAATTAACACAAACAAACTTTATAATAAATTTAACAAATTATTTTCCAAACTTAAAAGAATAACATTATTATACTGAGTATAATAAAAATCAAAAATATTATTATAAAACTATATAATTTGGATTTTATAAAAAAAAACCAAAAATTTTGTAAAATATTTGGATTAGTACATCATTCATAATTAGAAATGAAATCATAACGAAGAATTGAAGCCGTAAATATATCACCTTTCACAGCAAAAGGTTTCATTTCTGTTCTTTCAGGTAATTGTAATAGAACATCTGCACCAACAATACTTTGTAAACGGCTACTCATCTAAAATACATGTAAATACAGAAAATATGTAGTTTCACAAAAAGAAAAAAAATTATTTGAATTTACTTGATTTCCTGTAACTGTTGCATATAATCTTCCATTTCTACTTGTAATTGTAGCACGAACAAATTCTGGTCTTGGATCTAATTGAAGTTTTTCATTTTCTAATGTAACTAAAAGTTCAGATAATTCACATTTTCTGCGATCCCAACCAACCCACCAACGAATAGCTGGTAAGACAAATAAATGAAAACAAACAAATGCTGAAACAGGATTTCCTGGTAAACCAAAAAAGTATTTAGTTCCTTTACTTCCGAATGTCATTGGTTTCCTGAAATAAAAAAATAACTTGAATACCTGGTTTATTTATATCAATAATGAATTTTTTTAAAAGTACTTACCCTGGTTTCATATTAACTCTTCCAAAATGAATTTTGAATCCTAATTGCATTAAAACAGGTTTGATAAAATCTTTATCACCCATTGAAACGCCACCACTGCACACAATAAAATCACATTTATTGAACATATCATCAATTGATGCCATCACCTCCTCTTGACTATCAGATATAACAGAATCACAAAAGCATTCGAAACCAAAATATTTTAAAAGTTCTCTTAACATTGTTGTATTCGAATCATAAATTTTGCCCTCTACTTCTGGAGCTTCAGGTTTCGATAATTCATTTCCTGTTGATATTATACCAACTTTAGGTTTTGGTAATTCGTAATCTTTTCCAATTGAAGCAAAAATCGACTTTATACATATATCAGATAAATCAAGATTTGGAAATATATTTTCACCTTTTTCAAGATCAGTACCAATTGGCCTAAAATAAGAGGTAACACGTTACATTTTTGTTTACAAAAAAAAATTAAAAATTTAGCTGAGTTATATATGTACCTTACATCTAAATTAGCTTTGGGTTCCATCAATATTTGTACAAGTTTTTCATCACCATTCTCACTAGATTTTATTAGTTTTGTATCTTCGACTTGAATAATACAATCAGCAAAATGAGGTAAAGCAGCACCTGTATTTATTTTATAACATTCATCTTCCTCAAAATCACTTCTTATAATCGAATCACCTGCTGATATAACACCTAAAACTTTTTTAATACCACTTAAACTAGATGATTTTACTGCATAACCATCTTTAATTGATGCTCGAAATGGTGGTATATCAATTGGACTTTGAAAACCTAATAAAAATTCACGTTGAGTTTTAACATTATCTAAAATTAACTTCAAAGCTTCTTGAACTGGTATCATTGAATATGTTGAATTACGATCAGTATCGGTACCCTTTCCAGTTTTATGTGGACAAGTATGATGATGTTTTTCAGTACTTTTTCCAGGTTTATGTACTGAAACATAGCTATGTTCAGCTTGTATGTCATGATGTTCTTTAGTAACCAATTCAATTTTATTACACATTAAATGAATAATATGTTGTAAAACATTTTTTACTGGCTGAAAACATTCTTTAACAGCTTTAACACTTCCTGGAAAATTAATTATTAATGTTTGATCTCTTATACCACAAACAGCTCGTGATAGTGCAGCAAATGGTGTTTTCTGAAAACTTTCTAATGACATCGCTAAAGTTAATTGAGGACATTCACGTTTTATAACTGTTCTTGTAGCTTCAGGTGTAACATCTCTTGGTGAAAAACCTGTTCCACCGGTTGTAAAAATAACTTTTACTTTGTCTACATTAGTTTCACAGTGTTTTAATAGAATGGCTTCAATTTTACTTTGATCATCTGGAACTAATTCCATTACTATTGAGCAATTCCAATAAGTTTGTTCAATTAACTCTTTAAGAGCTGGTCCACTTTTATCTTGTGCAGTTCCAGCGAAACATGAATCGCTAACTAAAAAATTTTTAACATTGATGCAAAACATAATTAATATCTGTTTGGATTTCTATGACCTAATTTATTTTACCTGTTACAATGACAAAGGTAACATCCTCCATTATAATATCCAAAAGTTTTTTAATATTTCAGTTTTTTTAATTATAATTATCATGTATTTATTAAATGACTTTTTATGTAAAATAATCACATTCATAAACTTGTTGATTTCAATTTGTTTTGATAAAAATTTAATGACGTAATAAAATTTGAAACTTGACACTTATTTAAACAAAATATTATTTTGTTTATTGTGGATCATATTTTGTTTGTGGATTTAAATTAAATTTTATTTAAGACCAGAACCACATTTGAATGTTAAAATTTTGTTTCAAAGCAATATTTTGATGTTTTGACATTTTGTAGTTTTTTACTGTCAACGTGATTAAAATTGAAACCTGTCTTGCCGTTTTATAAATCAAAATTCAGTAGAAGATTTACATGACAGTACAAGCCGATTAATGATAATAAGTAGTTAAGGCTAGTTTATTTGCATGAAGTAGACTATAACTTTAATGCTAATAGATGCTAATAATAATAAGCAATATGGAAAATGTTTAAAATGTTTTTCAATGAAATTGAAATGTCAATTAATTAAAATTTTCAACACAATTTTTTAACGTCATTTCAATTGAGTACTAATACTATTTTAAACAATATTTTTCATTTTATCGATATTACGCAAGATGTTATGGAAATTGGTCTATTTTTTTGTAATTTATGATAACAGCTAGTCAAAATTGAAAGTGTGTTGACTCAATTCCGTAGGTCTATTTAATTTGAAATTATTAACATCACTTTCATAATATGTAAACTAAATATTTACAAAAAATTTTCCAGGGCCTTATTGCATTAACCACTTTTTCTTATTAAATTATTCAGAAAGTTTGCAAAGTTACTGTGGCATCAATTGTCAATACACAAATGAACTAAATACTAATAGAAGAAGCAGTTTTTTTTTAAAATAAAAAATAAAAGCGACTGGCGCAATCGGGCCCAGTAATAAATAGTGAATTTGTCAAAATTTTAGAATTTGGAAAAAATTCTTTAAATAAAATTAATAATAAAACAAAAACTCGATTATTATTTTATGTTTTTTTTTTAATTAAATATTTATTTACAAAAAAAAAAAAATAAAATACAATATTTATTTAATAAATTGTTAGCAAATAATTTTATAATCATTAATGATTATTGTAAAATTATTTTATTTTTACTCATTATTATTTTATATATAAAAAAAATTATCCAAAAATATTATAGGTACTATACAAATAATATACAAATAATTATAATTTTATTTATTTTTTTGTTTTGTTTCTCCAAAATAAGAATTTCGTACACATTTATTATTTAAATTTTTTAACTTAAAAAATAAGTTTCATATTATGTTTTATTAAATTAAAAATTTTAACTACTAAAAAATTGTAGTTAAAATTTTGAAATTTCGTTTCCATATTTTGTTTGAACATATTTTTTTTCTTAATAATTTTTACATTTTATAATTTAGGCATATATGTAATTTTTAAATCCATGTTATGTATAAGGTTTTCTATTATTTTCGACAATTTAATAAATTTAAACTAGGTAATTTTTAATGATTTCAGATTTAAAATAAGCCCGAAACGTCTAAAAGGCATCATTACTAATTTGTAGAAAAAATGATACTGTCAAGGTGAAATTGAAATTTTTGATAAGCTTCTTAAAAAGTTACGCAGGTGATAGAAAATATTATTTAGAATTGTAGTTTGCAGAACGAAAACGTTTCTACATTAAAGTTAAATTTAAAATTTAATGTTTTAAGATTGACAACGATTTATAATTTGCACTTGCATTACTTAATAATTTACAAAGCATGGAAAACGTCATACAAACATGAATGTTCATTTACTACCTTCATGACTTTAAATGAAAAACAAAAATTTTTCATCGTAATCAACTCAAATTATTAAAAAAAAACTTAAATTTATTTTTTAATTATAAGAATATAAAATAAAAATTACACATATACACAAGTATTTTTTAAAACAAACAAAAAAAAAAAATAATTGGCCGTAAAGGGTTAAATAGATTCCATTATTTTAACATTTTATTCTTATATTTTTTCTTCTTAAACTTTTTGTACACCAGCAATATCAGTTTTGAAACGGAATGATGATCGACATGGCAACGTTAAATGAAATTTGCTATTTGGTACGGCCAATTCATATCGTTCATGTGGCCTTAAATCGAATAATGCATGTTCAATAACTTGTAAAGCACTTGCTGTTAAAACTTCAGCTGAATATTGTGTTGGAGCACCATCACAATCTGGAGAAATATCTAAAAATAAATGAAAAACAAAAATATAGAAATTATTATTATTTTTAGTTCCATTATCCTAAAAATATCATTCATTTATTCGCGTGTGATTTTTATTTCTTACTATATGGTATTGGAGCTCTATATAATGATTCAGCAGGTACACCATTTGTATCTAATTTAACGACACTAACACCATATGGTTGTAATTCTTTTCTTAATTCATCAGCACAACTTTCTACAGCAACTTTTGATGCAGTAAATGCAACTAAACCATCACCACGATTACCAGCTCCCAAATAAATTAAACGACCTCGTGTCGGTTTTAATAATCCAATAAAAGCTTTAGCAACTCTTAATGAACCTAATATGTTTGTTTTTAACATTGTTTCCCATTGTTGTACATCTTGATTTTCGACACGACCCCGAAATAATGTACCAGCAGTATTAATAACAGCTGTAATACCACGTTCACTAGCATTCATATGTGCACCCATTGCATCAACAGCTTCACGTAATATATCTTCTCTGGTAACATCTAATTGCATTGGTACAATTGATCCTTGTATTGGCACTTCAGAACTTTCACGCATTTTCATCCAATTTTTCAATAATTTAGCTGGTAATGAATCAATAGCATCTTTCATACCAGCAAAAACACGGCAACCACGATTTGCTAAATGTGTTGCCAATTGTAAACCTAATGCTGTATCAACACTTGTTATTAATATTGTACCATTTTGTGGACCAGATATTCTAGTTTGTGTTGAACGTACTTTACACAATAAATAAAGTAATAATGCACCAGCTATTGAAAATAATGCAATCAATTGAATTGCTAGGACTAGAGCTGTTTGTGGATCCATTATGGCATATCAATTGTTAACTGGAATTAAAATAAAAAAATATTAATGTTTAAAATTGTTATAATTACAAATAAATCAATGTGTATGAACTTTTGTATGAAATTTAACTATAAAAGTATTGGTTCCTGAAAGTATGCTATTTTAATTGAAAATATGAGAAAAATATAAGTTTTTTAAAAAATTTAATTAACTTTAATGGAAGATTTTTCCATGTTCTTACAAGTGTAAATTATTAAATCTGCGATGATAATTTCGGAAACAAGTGAATTAACGCCAATACTGCTAAAAAATGTACACATTAGGAGTAGAAGTTCACAGTAACAAACCACTGATTCGATTATTAAATTTTTACCGACCGTATTGTGTAAACAATAGGTAGGTTATGTGATGGCAACAAATTTTGCATATCGAGTTTTCGGTGGGAACGTACTTCTCCATAGTAGGGAAGTGTAAATAAACTATTTTTAGCAACCTGTTGGTCTGTCGGTCTGTCCGTCTGTCGGTCTGTGTGTGCACGCGTGTATCTCAAGTTCGGCTGAACCGATTTTGATGAAATTTTATATGTAAGTTTGTTTCCACCATGGCACGGATCGATTAGCTTTTGGTATATATCAGGCCTCGGGAACTGCACTTTTTAGCGGGCCTGTTTTACATTTTTGAACATTTTGAAGAAAATATTCAACCGATTTACTTGAAATTTTATATATAAGCTCAGCTCGACCGTCCGCAAAAATTCGTATGTTTTGGAAGAAATCAGGCATCGGCAACTAAACGTTTACTACGGGCCAAATATACATTTTTGTGTATATAAAGAGAAATAATCAATCGATTTCATTGAGATTTAATATATGAATTCCTCATATTAAAGCAATGAACATATAACTTTTTTGGAAATATCAGGGCTCGAGAGTTGATTTGCGGGCCGATTTTACATTTTTCACCATATCCACAGAACAAATTGATAGAATTTCTTGAAATTTGATATTTGAGTTCTGGTTGTTACCGAAACTAACTGGCGAGCATTTCAGGGAATTCGGGTAGCACAAAGCGAAACTCTACTAAGAGCCAAATTTACATTTTTCTAAGTATGTTAACTACAAGCTTACTAATGTCCTAAAAATTGGAAAGAAGTATTTAACAGACATTTTTATAATATTCTGTAACACTTTCATTTAACTAGACAATACACAATGCGGTCGGTTATGTGTTGACCACATCAGATTTTTTTTAGAATTAAAGTAGCGCATGACATGAGGTATCTGAATATCATTTAGAACACAAGTCTGAATTAACTGTAAAAATCAAAACTGGAAGAACACAGCATGATTAGCTTTATTTAATATTGGCTATAGAATTTTACTAACGTCCTTTGTACCGTAATTTAACTTTTTGTATGGGAGCTATTGTCAATTTTATTTGATCACGTAGAGATATTCGCGTTACGCCAATCTGTTACATATTATTCTTCTAAACTTTTAACAATTTCGTAATTGTATTTTTGAGATTTTGTAAATGTGGGATATTAGAGGGAATTTTTATTTTTTTTTTTGTAATAAAATCTTAAGGGTATAGTTTATGAGTAATTCAGGAATCTTAATATCGTAATACTGATTGTAGCCAAGTTTCTACTTCCTACTCCCATGGTTTCTAAAACAAATGCTACCATTGTGTTTATAACAAATAAATATTGTCAATATGAAATTTATTATAAGCATAAAAGACAATATTTAACAATTAAATTGAATTGATTAAATTACAAAAAATAATAATAAAAAAAGAAATAACAATGAAATTATTTATTTTATTATAAAAAAACTGATAGCTATTTGTTGTTTGACAGAATTTAATAAAAATTAATTTAAAAATGAGGTTTCGAAACCGTAAAAACCAACACAGAGAAAAAAACCAACAAAATGCAAAAAATTAATTTTTATTTTTCTCATTTGTTTTAATTATAAGAAAACTAGCAACAACACTAAATTGTTAAACTAACAGTTATTTGAATTTACATAATTTCGTTTATTTTAAGTTCATTATAAATTTAAAAGCGTTTGTGGATGTTTTTTTTATTTTAATTATGAAATCATTTAATAGATTCAAAAATTTTGAATATGGAATTTTAATTTGAATTAAACCACTGTCGGAAGTTATGTGTATTTTATATTCATTTGTGTATAATAATTTGATAGTAGGCTAAAAGTAGCTTAAAAGTGATAATTATGTAAGTTAATTAATGTTAAAAGAAGTGTATTTATTGTATATTAAATTGTTGAATTTACAGTGAGTTTTTGTATATTAAATTTATTGTTGATTATTATAGAGTGTGCGGTTTATTTTCACATTTGACGTATTGACGCATGTATTTTTAACTCAATGTTTCCAATGAATGTTGATGAGAGACGTAATTTTAATAAGGAAATTTATTAAAGAATTATAGATTATTGATTTTTTTATTTATATTATAAGTATCTGTACACAAAGTGTTCTTTGTACAGTCGAACACGTATACTCGCAAAAATCCTTTTTACAAATAGAATTTTTTGCTTAACTGCAACTTACTAAATAACTCAAAACTTTTACAAACACAAGGATTTTAGTGAATGTGATCACTGTTTGTTTTGCTTGTATACTTACAAAAATTTTCACTTGTACACACAAAACTTTTTGACAATATTAATGACAGTTTTTGATAGGTTAATTTTTGATAAAGCAAGATACAGAAAATATTGAGTAATCATTCCTAGCACAAAGCTGATTTAAAAATTTGATTTTGCTTATAATAATATAATTGTACAATAAGAATGTATTCACAACAATATTGTTGTTCAATTGAATGTGGATATAAGTGTGTTTGACTGAACATAATGTATGTAATATATAATATACAACATACGTAAATATAATTTCTATAGAACTATTGGAATGAACTGAATTAAATTTTACCTTTCTCATTCTCATGAGAAGAGCTTTATAGATGCCAAATTTGGATGTTTATTATTTCTTCTGAAATTTATTGTACTAAAATTAAGTATGAGTGCTAAAGTACGATCTTTTTTTTGATTATCTTTCTAAAATTGGTGGAATTTATTGGTGGAAAACATTGTGAACAAAATTTGGAATTTTAACAGTTTAATTTTAGCAATAATTTTTCATATATTCAATAATATTATTCAAAAGTTTTGTTTTTGCAAAATGTTCCAAATCTGTTTTTATAATTTCAACAAAATTGTGTGGTAATAACAAAACTCACAATTCTTTTGAGTTCAATTAAGATTTTAGACGTCTCTATCGCTATTAAATAATTCCTTCGTATAATAACGCCTAAGTTTAGGTAGATTCATAAATTCAGATGTATTTTGTCTTTGCATTTTCTTTATTTTAAATGCAGTTGTCTCTCTCTCTTTCTCTCTCTCTTAAAGGGTTGAATAAAATTAAACTTGTCAAGAATTTATTATATAAAGCGTAGTAAACAGGAAACCAACTTAGTTTAAAAGCGACTTAAACCAATGAATTCACCTTCACTACTTCTAATTGTATTTGATATATGAGGGTATCAGAAGCAGAGTGGCGTAAGCTACAAATAAAAAAAATTTTTTTTTGCTGCAATCGGTTATGTTCATCTTCTAAAATCAGTGATATTAGTTTCCAGTTTCGAAATACGTTTTTTTCCTATTTATTTTTCACAAAAGTACTTTTGCTTTTGCAAAATTTTTCTGATTTACCCACATTGTGGCTTTCGCCACTCGGCTTCTGAGCCCGTCACATATTCTATTAAAAGAAAATGACTTCAGAAGCGCGTATCAATTACTATAACACATAGTTTTCATTTATCTTTTGCAAATTGTCATGTAAAATAATATTCGCTTTCAAAATATTAAACGTCAATATAATTAAGAGTTTTTAAAATGAGAGTAAAGTTATTGCTCTATTAAACCGTTTCAAATGTGATAAATGGTTTAAAATTTGTAGTCATGGCATCAAAATGAGAAAAATTCAACATTTTCTAAAAATTTGTAATTTAAATTAGATGATTAAATTTAATATTTTAAATTTATATGTTAACAAATATGTATGTCTGCCTATATATTCATATATAGAGAAAGATTTTACCTTCATCTTAAAAAAATGTTTCTTTCCCCCATTTCTTTTTCCATATATAGTTTTATAAATTTAATTTTCTTTTTCAAATGCATCGTAAAACAACTTTTTATGGTTCGTTAATTTTTTCTTATTAATTCAAAATTTTAAAAATTCAAAAAGAAATTAGTATAACTTAAAGTCATCAAGTACAACGTTAGTTACTAACATTTTCCGTTTGTGGATGTTGACGAGATCAACAATAGTTCAAATACTATAAAAAATTATTGTAAGAGAGTCTTTAAAATGCAATATGGTTTTGTGCATAAATTAAACACGGTATTTTAAGACTTTTTTGTTAAATTAACATTTACCGTTAAAGTTATCCATTAGAAAAATGATGCTTCTTTTTACCGACCGTATTGTGTAAACAATAGGTAGGTTATGTGATGGCAACAAATTTTGCATATCGAGTTTTCGGTGGGAACGTACTTCTCCATAGTAGGGAAGTGTAAATAAACTATTTTTAGCAACCTGTCGGTCTGTCGGTCTGTCGGTCTGTCGGTCTGTCGGTCTGTCGGTCTGTGTGTGCACGCGTGTATCTCAAGTTCGGCTGAACCGATTTTGATGAAATTTTATATGTAAGTTTGTTTCCACCATGGCACGGATCGATCAACTTTTGGTATATATCAGGCCTCGGGAACTGCACTTTTTAGCGGGCCTGTTTTACATTTTTGAACATTTTGAAGAAAATATTCAACCGATTTACTTGAAATTTTATATATAAGCTCAGCTCGACCGTCCGCAAAAACTCGTATGTTTTGGAAGAAATCAGGCATCGGCAACTAGACGTTTACTACGGGCCAAATATACATTTTTGTGTATATAAAGCGAAATAATCAACCGATTTCATTGAAATTTAATATATGAACTCCTCGTATTA